GTGTGTTCTGCATGTGGGCTAGGCACCTGAAACCCATCATGACACATGAGAATTACTTCCTTCAAGACAATTCAATTTAATTTATTAAAGTAGCAGCAGTAGTAGAAGTAACACATGCAGATTAAAGGGACTTAATGCATTTAATTTGGTTAAGTCGGACCAGTCTAAGGAAACCCAGCTGATTTTGAATATAATTCTTAGCAGACCGCAAAACTCCTTTGTAGGGTTGATTTGGATTTTTTTTCAGCCACAGCTTACAGTTTATGGGTAAGCTGCCAACCAATGGGCAGAAGTTGACCCTCTAAGCCACAGCCGTTCCTCATTTGCATCATGAGGCAGAAATGCATACAGAAATGTAAAAACGACAGGCAGAAATAAATACCATAGAAGGCATAAATTGGGTAAAAAATAATACAAAGGAAGAATAAAACAGACAAAAATATTATAACAAGCACGTAAATAAATACTTAAAAAAAAGTAATTAATAAATAAAGTTGAAGATTATAACGGACAATAAATAAATAAGGTAATAATTACAAAGGCAAATAAATAAAGAAGCTAATTAAAAGAGATGTATACATTTATGTCTCACTGTATAATTTAACGGACGCTTCACATCAGACGCTGCACCAATACGCCTATCGATCTCCCGCTCCACCTTCCCCTCAATCGTGAACAAGACCCCAAGATACTTAAACTCCACTAGGGGCAGTACATCCTTCCCAACCTGGAGAAGGTACCCTCTACCCTTTTCCGGCTTTTCCGGATTTAGAGGCACTGATCCTTATCTGGGCCGCTTCACACTTGGCTGCAATCGCTCCAGTGAGAGCTGTAGATAACACCCTGATAAAGCCAATAGAACCACATCATCTGGGAATAACAGAAACGAGATCCTAAGGCCACCAAAACGGATCCCTTCAACACCTTGGCTGCGCCTAGAAATTCTGTCCATAAAAGTTATGAACAGAATCGGTGACAAAGGGCAACCTTGGCGGAATCCAACCCTCACCGGAAACGAGTCTGACTTACTGCCGGCAATGCAGACCAGGCTCTGACACCGGTCTTACAGAGACCTAACAGCCCCTATTTTATGGCCCGGTACTCCATACTCCCGGAGTACCCCCCACAGGACCCCCCGAGGAACACGGTCGAATGCATTCTCCAGATCAACAAAACACATGTAGACTGTTTGGGCAAGCTCCCATGCACCCTCCAGAATCCTGCTGAGGGTATAGAGCTGATCCAGTGTTCCACGGCCAGGACGCATCCGATTACTGGTCAATCTACGTTCCTACCCTCATCTATGGTCATGAGCTTTGGGTCATGACCGAAAGGCCGAGATACCAGATACAAGCGGTTGAAATGAGTTTTCTCCGTAATGTGTCTGGGCTCTCCCTTAGAGATAGGGTGAGGAGCTCAGTCATCCGGGCAGGACTTATGCTGCGTTCACACCGGGGGCAGCAAAAGCAGCAAAATCGCGTCTGCTGCTTCATTTTTGCTGCTTGTACCAGTTAGTTCTGACGCGCGGCTGAAGCAGCTTTGCTGCTCTGCCTGCGCGGTCCAAAAGTGGCTCTGACGCGCGTCGGGCGGAGCTTCACTATCCTTTCTCTGCCTTGCAGCTATATTTGCTGTGATCAGTGGGAATAAAGTAGTTTTAATATGTTTTTAAGTGAGAAAATACACCTGAAAACTTCATCACTGCAGTCAGTTCATCCAGATTACGATCCTGCCTCCCAATATTATTTCTGTCGGAGCCGCTCAGACCCCCACATACCGGCGGTGCGCCGACAAAAGGAATCCATTCATCAGCAGCCTCTGGCGGGTCGCCTCCTCGCGGTTCACCGCGGCGGCTGGTAGGTGTTTTTCATCTAAATAATCCGATCTGCAGGCACCACAATAATAAAAGCGAACATATTCTGCCGGCAGATGTATATATTTTAAGTTAATTATGCGTTAATAAACTGTTTAAGAGGAGTAATCAGAGCGGTCTGTGTCATCAGCGCTGTGTCTCTCTCCCAGCCAGCTCCCAGATCAGCTTCTCTGATTTATTGACGCGGCGCGTCGAGCAGCAAAAATTCAATTTTTCCATCTCGAGCAGCAACGCGTTTGCGGCGCGTCACGGGCGTCAGATGCCAAAACGCGCCCGACGCGCTGCTTCAGCTGCTCAGACGCGCTGCGCCTGCTGCTCAAAACGCGCCCGACGCGCTGCTTCAGCTGCTCAGACGCGCTGCGCTTGCTGCTCGAAACGCGCCGCAGGACCTTTTGCTGCGCCTTGACACGCATCAACCATTGACTTTGCATGTAAACTCGCTGCTTCTGTCGCGCCAGCTGCCCCCGGTGTGAACGCAGCATTAGAGTAGAGCCGCTGCCCCTCCACATGGAGAGGAGCCAGTTGAGGTGACTCGGGCATCTGATTAGGATGCCTCCTTGACGTCTCCCTGGTGAGGTGTTCCAGGCACGTCCCAATGGGAGGAGGCCCAGGGGGAGACCCAGGACACGCTGGAGGGACTATGTTTCTTCGCTGGCCTGGGAGTGCCTTGGGATTCCCCCGGAGTTGCTGGCCCAAGTGGCTGGGGAGAGGGACGTCTGGCCCTCCCTACTGACGCTGCTACCTCCGGCGACCCGATCTCGGATAAGCGGAAGAAGATGGATGGATGGATATATAATTTAATTTCTACCCACATTTATTTGTTTATTTTATGTTTGAGGGCAATTAATTTTATTTTATTTTTTATTTTAAAAACAAAGATAAGACAAGATGTTCTCAGAGAGATGGAAACAGAACAAATCAATGGTGCTGCAATACCTGGACCTAAAACAAACTTGTCTTGAGTTCTTGAAATCCCAGAATCAGAGAATGTTTTTTTTTTTTTTTTTTTTTAATAGAGGAGAATAAGAATAATCCTAGATATCTTTTTAATACAGTTGCGAAACTGACACAGAGCCATAGCTCTTTTGAACCGTCCATTCCACCTGCTCTTAGCAGCAATGATCTTATGGGATTCTTTATAAATAAGATTGATCTCATTGAAAATAAGATTAGCTCTAACTATGATTGGTTTATCTCTGGAAGGTGAGGCAGCATCTGAGGTAGCCATAGAATCTGAACCGGGTTTAGACTGCCATAAACCAGTTGAAATTTCAGAGTTAGCAAAACTATTGTCTTCATCTAAGCCTTCAACTTGAATGTTAGGACCAGTTCCAACCAGGTTATTTAAGGAGGTATTCCCTTTGATCTCCTCCTCCATTTTATGTGTGATTAATCCATCTCTGTTACAGGGATATGTACCAAAGGCTTTTAAGGTTGCTGTAATTAAACCTTTGCTTAATAAACCGTCTCTCACTTGTTCAATTATAGACCTATATCCAATCTTTCTTTCTTATCTAAAATTCTTGAGAAAGTAGTTGCCAAACAAGTTTGCGATCACTTACACCATGATGAACTTTCTGAAGAGTTTCAGTCTGGCTTTAGAGCTCATCATAGCACTGAAACAGCTCTGGTGAAAGTTGCTAATGATATTCTCATGGCCTCAGAAAATGGACTTGTATCTGTGCTCGTCCTGTTGGATCTCAGTGCTGCACTTGATACAGTTGACCATAATATTCTTTTAGAAAGACTTGAATATTTTATTGGAATTAAAGGTACATTACTCTTCCTCGTGCTCAAAGGTTACCTGTGGAGTACCACAGGGATCAGTGCTAGGACCAATTCTCTTTACTTTATACATGCTCCCAATTGGTAGAATTATTAGACAGCATGGGATTAATTTTCACTGTTATGCTGATGATACTCAGCTATATCTGTCTATAAATCCAGATGATTACAGGCATGTATGGACGACATTAAACACCTGAATGACTCTTAACTTTCTGCTTCTCAACAGAGAAAACAGAAGTTATAGTCTTTGGACCAAAGTCTTCGAAAGATAAGCTGATTAGTTAGTCACTTCATTTGGATGGGATTAAACTGATTTAAAATAATAAAGTAAAAAATCTTGGTGTTATTGTTAATCTGTCATTTAAATCCAATACCAAAGAGGTTTCTAGAATTTCCTTCTTTCATTTGCAGAATATTGCAAAAAAAAATATATATATATCCTGTCCAGGGGTGATGCTGAGAAACTAGTCCATACATTTGTTACTTCAAGGCTGGACTATTGTAATTCTTTACTATCAGGAAGTCCACAAACTGTAGTTAAAAGCCTTCAGCTGATCCAAAATGCTGCAGCCAGAGTTCTGATGAAAATTAAAAAGAGAGATCATATCTCTCCTATTCTAGCTTCTCTTTATTGGCTTCCTGTTAAATCCAGAATAGAATTTAAAATCCTCCTTCTCACATATAAAGCCTTAAATGGCCAAGCTCCATCTGATATCAGAGATCTGATTGTTCCTTATGTTCCTAACAGAGCACTTCGCTCTCAATCTGCAGGTTTACTAGTGGTTCCTAAAATCTCTAAAAGTAGAATGGGAGGCAGATCTTTTAGTTATCAGGCTCCTCTCCTGTGGAACCAAATACCAGTTTTAATCCGTGAGGCAGACACCCTGTCTACTTTTAAGGCTAGGCTTAAAACGTTCCTTTTTGATAAAGCTTATACATAGTTAGAGTGGCTCAGGTTATCCTGAACTATCTCTATAGTTATGCTGCTATAGGCTTAGACTGCTTAATGACATAGGGACCCCTATTTCAGACCCACAAAATTGCTGCTGAATTGCTGCATAGTCCGATTAAAATGGACCTGGGCTCTATCTCGGTCGGATCTACGCAGCCCCCTTGGTTGAAATCGTGTTGGGTGTGATCGTCCCCATTGACTTTCAATGAGCGCTTAACGCAAAAACCTCGCCCCGACACGATTTTCTGTCGAAACTGAAATCTGCTTTGGTGTTCTGGCCTTAAAACTATCTGGGTTAGATCTTTGACATTTGAGCTAAGCTCTGGTAGAAATCAGATGTTAAAATGATGTGTGGAGAAAGCCGTGAGCATGAGGTAGATTTATTGTTACCTTTCCCTTCTTCATGGCATTGTAGATTTCTTTGTACTGTTGGAATTTCTCAAGCTCTGCTTTCACCAGCACCTGCCGGATGTGCATCACTTCTTCCACAGTCAGAGACAGACACTCCACAGGGAAACAAAACTCCTCCTGCAAACACAAAACACACATTAACCCTCATCCAAAACCTAACTTTTTCACTGCTAAAGGTCTACTTAGACCCTTTCATCAGAGAAAAGAAAAGGCTCAAGTAAACTCTAAAGCAGTGTTTTCTAACCATGGACATCAGGACACAGTGCTGTTAATGTTTTACATGTCTCTCTGTTTTAATTCCCCAGATTGAGGTGACTGCAAGTTAAAAAAGCCTTTCAGTCATCCATCAATTAAAAGATTTCCCGTACCAGGGAAACCTGTAGGGCAGTTTGCCTTCAGCTACGGGGTTGAAAACTCTGCATAGTTTGTAATCTGGCCTTCATTACTGTGACTACACGTCCCCGATTTCCAGGGACAGTCCCAGTATTGGACCACCTGTCCCCAGGCAACAGTTGTCCCCAGAAATGTCCCAGATTTACTGTTTTATGAATGAAGGGTTAAATATTACATGTAGACTGTTATAACGGTTGTCATGATCTGGCCTGATTCCTATAAGGGCCAGATCATTTAATTTGTTTTCCTGTTAGTCTGTCAGTGTTTTCAGTTTTAATCCATGGTTGAAGTCCTGGATCCTGCCGGCCAGTGGAAAGAAGGTTTTGCGTCTGTCTTGTCTCCTGATCGTCCACTGTTCCTCCCCTGCTGAGTCCTCAGGGTTTTTAGCTCTATATGTGGGGAGGCTCAGTTTTAATCTCAGTAAGCCTGGCTCCAAGGAGATGACCAGTTTAAAGGTCCTGCATCGAGTTCTGGTTCCACGTCCTGTCTTGGCTACCCTCTGCCACTGAGCCTGCCCGTCTGCACCTGATCCTGTCTGCTCCTATGCATGTCCGTCTGGTCACGCTTCTGGACTCTGTCAGACTCCGAACCTGCCTGGGAGCTGGTGGATTACCTGGAAGCCTGAATGCTGTCACCTGTCTGTTCCTGCCTGATCTGGATCCTGTCACCTGTCTGCTCCTGCCCGATCTGTAACCCTGTCCAGGATCGGCTTCCTCCGGGTCCTCCGGGACTGCAGCCCCGAGGACGCACTGGGTGACGCGCGCCGCATCAATCTACAGTCCAGCGGCTGGATTGCGCCCCTTTCCAGGGAGATGGACTGGACTGTTAAACCAGGTAAGTGACCAACTCAGATAATCATCTTCAGTCAGATGATCGTGGTCAATTACCTGTGTTTCTCCCATGAACAGAGTGTCTGAACTGCAGTCGCCGCGAGCCACAGATCCAACAGCTCCACGTTTTTGTTTGTTTGTCTTTATTTCAATAAACATTTTGTACTTTCCTACTGACTGTCTCTCCTTGAATAATGGGTCAATTTGTCCCGTTTCATGAGAAAGGTAGAAAGTGCAAGTAAGCATGTTACACGCAGACACAGCTGTTAGCTAGCTGGTTGCGCTGCTGTTAATATAAAACGAGGAACAGAGCATAACAGTTTTAAACCAGAGGAAGATGTGGAAGTTCATTCACAGCCGGTTGCAGCTGATGGGAAGCTGCCCTGTGTTATGGTGAGTGTGTTAATTGATTCCTTCAATGTGGATTGGGATGATCCCTTTGATAAATGTTTATTTAAAGAATAAAATAGGGCTTCTTTGTATGTTGTTAATACTGAACACTGGAAATGTGACATAAACCAAGCTAATCAACAAAAATAAGACAAGACCATCGGCTGCAGCAGGCATGAGTAAATAGTCTTAGATAAAATAAAGCAGAATGAGCGAAACTCCTGTTAAGGCGCTAATCTGGAACAGTGGTTCTCCAGGGCTCAACAAGGGTTTGCCTAAAGATGTATCGCAACTGATTGGGGACCTTTAGTTTATATTTTCAGATAGTTATCATAAGCAGGGTTAGTTGAAGTAGTTTTGCTGATTTATGGTTATGCTTTATGAGCATATACTTCCAGGCTTAGTTGTGCTTTTCTACCACTCAGTTTGGATAAATGAAAGTTCCTCACGAAAAAATGGGAGGAAGTAAAAGGAAAACTGAATGAGACAAAATCTGCTATGATCTGATAATGATGGTGTCAGTGGTAACCAGTAATTTAATGGCCATTTATTTAGTTGTTTTGGCTTGTAACCTCAAATATTGTGGTAATTAGCTTTTTTAGTATGTAATCAGGTGAAATCATAATAACATATAATAACAGTAATAATATGTGTGATTCCACAATAATCCCAGTATCTCATCTAAAAATAATCAACTTCCAATAGGTTTGTAAAAAAAAAAAAAAAAAAAAAAAATCTTACCTAAACTTTTTGTTTTCAGTCATACATTCTAATGTTTTTCGAAGGGACTGTTATTATATTATGTTTCTGTTTTAGAATAATGTAAGATTGATGAAAGAGGAGAGAGAATGACGGGAAGTTGGACCATTTAGGTCCAACTTTTGTCTTTAAAAATATCTTAAAAATTGAAAGAATTGGGGGGCAATACATTTTTTTGCAGCGTTTATTTATTTCTGTATATATTTTTAATTATGACAGGATTAGTCCTCCATACTGCAAGTACCAGAATATACAATCAAATATTTTTGTCAGCAGGTTTTTAGCATTTTTAGTTAATTTGGGTATATACACTGTTTGGCCATACTGTAGTTAATAATAACATATTTTAGTGCAGCAATAAGGATCAGAGCTCGATTTCTGTTCTTGATCATAACATCAGGCTTTTTTTTTTTTTTACCTTTCAAGTTTAACCCCTTGATATTTGTTTATTTTTCACATGCAGAAGCTCTGCAGAAATGACAGCAGGTAGTGTTAGTTTCTCCCCAAAAAATTCCTGGATCAGCTTTTCAGATTGGTTGACGCTCCGCCATCCAGTGGCAAAAGTTAAATTTTCTAAACTCCAGTGTCAATGCTTGGACGCCAGAACGCTCGGATGTGCTGCTCTCAACGTTTGGAAACGCCGCTGGGCCTCTTGACAGCGTCACCCATAGACTTTTCACGTAAATCAGAAGTTTCGATGGTGACAATGCACCCAGTTGGAACACACAATAAGCATTACCTCATAAACACAACAACAACCCTTTTGGGGTTTTGGGCGTCAAAGCATGTGATTTACATGCAAAGTCTATGTGGGATGGCATCGAGAGTTCCAACGTGTCTGAGCGTCGTGTCTGAGTATTGGGAGAGGTGCATCTGAGCATTCTGGTTATGGAGCATCTGAGCATTCGATCCTGGAGTCCAGAAAATGTAACTTTTGCAGCTTGTCAACCAATCTGAAAAGCTGATTGTGGAGTTTTACGGGGAGATAGACACTAGAGGCAAGCTGTTATCACTTCTGCAGAGCTGCATATAAAAGATTAATAATTAAATATAAATGGGTTAAACTCCGAAGGTTTAAACAAAAAAAAAAAATTGATTGTTATGTACAATCCAGGGAAAGAGAGCAAGCTCCAATCAATTCATTCAATAGAGTTAAAGAACAATCCACTGGACTTTGTTTCCAAGTTTTAAGATGTTTCGGGACATTTTGAATTGAAAAAGCTTCCTGATTGAAAGATTAAGTGATTGAAAGCTTGAATGATTTTTAAAATCTCATAGGCCTTTAGGTTCTCTTGGTCAGGGGACACTGCGACCCAAACACTGTACTCCTCATCTCCAGTGTACTTCTCGTAGATGTAGAGCAAAACCTGTTGCGGAAAAAATCTTCTACACAGTCTCTATTTGGGATTGTTACTTGTTCATCGTCAGACTTAAATATCAGTTGTCCACAAATCAGGTAGGTGAAAGTTAACTGAAGGATTTTATTTAGTTGGAGTTTTAACAAAATGTTATGTACTGTGTCAAATGAAGGAGAATTACAATATAACAAGCTCCTCATTTAATGGTTTTTAGCTGACACTCGTTTTTACATTAAAGCTACAGTGTGTAATTTTCAGCGACATCTAACATCCAGACTGCAGACCGCAGCAACATGAACATCTCCCCCCCACCGCTTCTCCCCCCAACAGTACGGCGAGCGTTACGGGACAAAATGTCTTCCACGACGTCCGCATCACCTAACTTCTCAAGTGATGAGGTTTGTTTACATAGATAATTTTACAGATAGTATTTCATTAGTCTGTTTGTTCAGTACCGTCTCAGTTCATCTCTCTCAACTTGCCGTAGTTACTTTTGAGCGGAATGGGAGATCTCGCAATCGCTAGTTTTTTTGGCTCTGCGCTGCCGTCGCGCAAAGATGTCTGCCTCCATGGCTGCGAGACCCGCTCCTATGTAATTATAAATAACGAATTCTAAGGCAACGCAAATATTAAGGTTAAGAGGCTGAGCTCGTAGATGATGATAAATAACATAGTTATGTATAATATATTACATTTCTGACTGTATATCCCTGTAATTATTACACACTGTAGCTTTAATAGTGTTTTTTTAACTGAAACTTGTTTTACGTCAAAACCTGTTACGTCAAAACCTGTTGCGGAAAAAATCTTCTACACAGTCTCTATTTGGGATTGTTACTTGTTCATCGTCAGACTTAAATATCAGTTGTCCACAAATCAGGTAGGTGAAAGTGGTTTTCATCAGAAGTTAGCAATTGCCCGCAAATGACTGAGGACAGACGGTACAAATGTGTTCCACATTTTGTAGGGATGTCAGTGGTTGGACAAGGAATCACAGCAGTTGACATTATGCTCCTAGTGGGGGACTGTTTCACACAAAGGGCTATCACATCAGTATCACCGAAGAAGCATTTTCTTTTTAGGGTGGAGTTGCATACTTTACAGTGCTTTTGCTGGCCCTTACCAAACCAACATTTAGGAAGAGAAGTGGTGGTGCCTTTGCCTTTGTGGAAGCATGTTTTTCCTCGGCCTAATTAGGGTGAAAGGAAGGCAAGGAGTGATAAAAGATAAGTGTTTAAAGTTTCCTCATCCTCCTTCATGCCGTGAACAGAAGACAGCTGTTCTAGTATATTGCACGGCTTTACCATATTAACAGGAGAAGCTGCGCAAGTGAAGTTAGATACTGTTGTCGGACAACATGCGGTAATTTATAAATGTTTCAAATCAGGTTGGGTCCGGATTAGAAAGCAGGAGCCGGACCCACCTGCTAATCCGTGCTAATCCGTGACCCCTTCTAAACCTTTTATTCAATTTTATTTCAAAGCTTCAACTCTGGATTATATTTATTTTTACTTTTTCAAAATTTCAATACAAAAAAAATAAAAAATTCTTTGGTTGCAACAATAATGGAGCAAAATTTCTTCCATAATTCACCACATCTTGACCCTTCTAAACTTTCTGAGTTCATGAAACACAAACAAACATTCCATAAAGAAGGGGTGAACGTAAAGCCTCATACATATGAAATGTTACTGGATTTTGTTTCGTGAAGTTTAGACCCAGAGTCAGAATGTTCTGCAAACCAACAAGAAAGCAGCTTCACTTTAATCCACAATCAATGTTCAAAAAAAGCCAAGAAGCCAATGATTCTGGTTAGTAGATTTGTGCTACGTAAGAAGCTTCATTCTACTGTAGAAGACGGGTCTCTAAAAAAGGATTAGGGCGGGATGGCCAGCTTTAGTTAAACTACCAGGACTGACAGAAAGGAGGCTGGCAAACCTTAACCCATTCTCCTCGTCCGATGCAAACGCTTCTGAATAAAACAAAAAGTGCCTTGGCCAACCCCAACACAAACGCCTCAGTGGGGTGGAAGCTCTGCAGAGAGAGGAGAGCGAAGCGAGAGGAGAAGAGGAAGAGGGAAGGGATCCAGAAAGGAAACAAGGCTTTCATCTCAACCTGAATATGAAGAAGGTTGAGGGAGAGAAGCTGTTAAACATTTGGGTTGAATAACTGATTGTATTTAATAGAAAGATTAAGCAAAGATATACTGTATGATAGAACCAGAATGAAGAGGCCACTTCAAATCCAACAAACTTGTAGAAAAACCAACTTCCTCACAGCATTTCTCAGCTTAGGAGTGAAAGGATGTGGGTTTCCTCGCTCACCAGAGACTTGGAGTTCTGTTTGGACGGAGGCTGGAACTGCCGGACAGTGGTGGGCGTTTCCTTCTCGATGGAGTGTCTCCTCTGGGGGGTCTGACGCCTCTCAGGCTGCGGTGTGGAGGAGATGGGCAGGAACATGGGAGGGGCTGGTGTTCAGGGATGACAAACGAAGTGATGAGCAGTTAATACTATTATCAGCAGACCTTTTCCAAATGCAGTACTTAAAAGGATCCATCACTAGTTTTAACAATTCATTTTATTTAGGAAATATTTATTTTAGATGCAAATACAATACAGTAAACAATATACTGTAAGCAGATTATGTTTGTGAGATATTGAGAATTATCCAGTTTTAAAAAAATATAGAGAATTATCTAGTTTAGGATTGGGGGCAAAATACGAGGATTGTTCTGCTTCTCATGAACTTTAGAAAAAAGCACCCCAGTGGAGGACTTTATACAAGCCTCCAATTAAAAAACAAACTGGTGATCTGCAATGGAGGATTTTACACTGTGCCATCGCCACAAACTCGCTTTTAGCAGTTATTAATTGGGGTGTTTCTAACGAGACTCCTCCCTCTTGTTGCCTCATTTTTATGGAGTCAACAAGACAATTTTTAACCTCTTAAAGAGTTTTTAGTCTTTTTGGGACAATTTTTACAAACACTCAATTTATAGGAGGAGTTTGCCAAAACAGAAGAAACAAGCCAAAGGCCTGTCTTCTACGTAAATGTTCAATCAGTGAAGCAAAGATGGCAATTTACCTTTCCTGCAGATACTGCAGGAGGGACCTCACCTTGATGCTGTGGCTCTGTGGAGGTTGTGGAAGCATATTTTTCCTTGGCCTATTTGTGAGATAAAATATTTTGAGTGTGCCGTTTCTCTGGCTAAATAGGGGTGATTGTTTAGAAGTCTGGTACCAGTCTGTATGCTGGAGTTATATAGAGAGTTAAGATTGGGGATGACAGAAAACAGTTTCCTTCCTACTCTAGACAAGGGTGAAGGGAGGGTCATGAGAGATAAGAATGAGTTCACACAGCCTCCTTCAGCTGTGAACAGGAGACCTGTTCTGAGTGTTTATCTGGCTAAAATCTGTCCTTGATGAATTGAAGTGCTTTTTTCTTGGGAACAACCAAATGCTCATGTGTGAGAAAGTTCTTTATGTAGGGGTGGGATAGCTCCAATGGAGAGTGTGTGTGTGTGTATTGGGAATTGCTATATAAATGTATGTACTGAGGTTGCCTCAGTCAGCGCTATACCTCTCTGTCTGAGGACGTTAAATAAATTTGAACCTTTTTTTTTTGCATGAAATGCCTCTGTCTCAGCTTCCTAACTCCATAAGGTGCAACATTAAAGCCAGAATAGGGCTGGAGTTTCACTTCCACAGAACCACACCGAACATGAAGGATTTTATTTAGTTGGAGTTTTAACAAAATGTTATGTACTGTGTCAAATGAAGGAGAATTACAATATAACAAGCTCCTCATTTAATGGTTTTTAGCTGACACTCGTTTTTACATTAAAGCTACAGTGTGTAATTTTCAGCGACATCTAACATCCAGACTGCAGACCGCAGCAACATGAACATCTCCCCCCCACCGCTTCTCCCCCCAACAGTACGGCGAGCGTTACGGGACAAAATGTCTTCCACGACGTCCGCATCACCTAACTTCTCAAGTGATGAGGTTTGTTTACATAGATAATTTTACAGATAGTATTTCATTAGTCTGTGTGTTCAGTACCGTCTCAGTTCATCTCTCTCAACTTGCCGTAGTTACTTTTGAGCGGAATGGGCGATCTCGCAATCGCTAGTTTGTTGGCTCTGCGCTGCCGTAGCGCAAAGATGTCTGCCTCCATGGCTGCGAGACCCGCTCCTATGTAATTATAAATAACGAATTCTAAGGCAACGCAAATATTAAGGTTAAGAGGCTGAGCTCGTAGATGATGATAAATAACATAGTTATGTATAATATATTACATTTCTGACTGTATATCCCTGTAATTATTACACACTGTAGCTTTAATAGTGTTTTTTTAACTGAAACTTGTTTTACGTCAATAATTGTTTATATTGTTTGTATTGGTAAATACAGTTTTGTTAAAAGTCAAAATAAGTCTCATGGTCTTCTCTTTATTCCCGGTTTCTGTTTGGTGCTACACACTGACTGTTGTCCCTCCTGGTGCGCGAAATCTGCTGGGTTGGGTAAGTGCTTTTTTTTTTTATCATTGGGACAAAGACACAAGAATAAATTACACACAAAAAAAAGAAAAACAACTGGGCAAGAGTGTATTTTTTAGTACATTAAGTTCATCAAGGTTGGAGCTTATAGCCAACTGTAATTTATGAATAATTGTGGAAGTAACTTGCAAAGTCAAAATAATAGACTGGTCAAAGCAATAGAATAGAAAAGAATAGCATAGAGTAGAATAGAAAATCCTTTTATTGTCCCATAATCGGGAAATTCTGGTGTTACAGCAGCAAAAAGAATATAGAAAAAATGGTCACACAAATATTGACCTTAGAAAAAATTTATAAGAATAACATAATAGTGAAGAGTTAAAAATAAACAACTAAAATACTGTACTGTGTGTTTTACTAATATAAATACTGTGCACCTGGAGAATCAATAACCAATATAAAGCTGTGGACATTTTTACAGTAATGGATATTTGAAAATAGCAGCAACATCAGAGATGTGCAAAATGACAGCAGCATGTTAGTTAACTGACTAAGATAGAAACTGTGCAAAATCAACATAAATGTAACAAGTTATTGAGGTTTTTGGGAACAGTGGTGGTTATAAAGTGTTCCAGCTGCTGGGAGGAAAGATCTGTGATAACGCTCCATGGTGCATTCAGGGTGCAGCAGTCTGTCCCTGAAGGAGATTTCTAGTTCAGCAACAGCTTCATGCATGGATGTGGGAGACATCATCCAACAGAGATGTTAATTTAGAGGACCTCCCTGTTCAGCCAAGCCAACAATACCCTCTAATGACACCCCTTTCAGAGACAAAGACAGATATCAGGTATTGCAGGCTAACAAAGAACCAAATGACTGCCAAGAACCCAAGAGTTTGTTTCGGTCCACTCTATAAAGCCTCAAACTCAACACTATTTCTGACATTTTAAATTGAAAAAGTTTCCTGGATGGGAAGTGAAACGTCTTCAAACTTGGAAACAAAGTCCAGTGAATTGTTTTTAACTTTTTTTTAAAGCAGAAATAGCATTTCTAAATATTGCCTCCAATAAAGTGTTATGGTTCTCCCCATTTGTAACTCTGAGTTTTTTGTTATCAGTTGTTCTGTTTTGTTCTTTGGTTTATTTTCCATTACAGTGAACCCTCGTTTATCGCGGGGGGTTACGTTCCAAAAAGAACCCACGATAGGCCAAATCCGTGATGTAGAAACCTTTATTTTTTTACAGTTATTGTACAGTGAAATACTCCTTAGAACATTGGAATCAAGGAACAATAACTTTTTACAGGCCCAAGCATTTTTTTAACAAAAAAAAGTACTATATAAACATTTGTTGTTGTTTTTTTTTTTTACAAATAACTACTGTACTGTACTGTAAAATAATATAGTTATAAATAAAAACTTTATTCATCAATACGAACTGAAGGGTTAATATTGCGGGGATCAGCATAGCCCCGTCGTGACTGATTGGAACGGGAGAAAATGAAAAATGACTATGAAAAAAAATACAAAGTACAGTAGGACAAATAGTGACTGACGTGTACAGTACAGTATTTCACTGCTGTTCTGACGGAGCCGCTGCATCCTGACTCTGCTCTGTGGCATTTTTTTCTTCTAAAGCCTGCAGTGCAGGTGTGTTTTTTGGACAGAAGAACATAGTTATCGGTAGTTGTTGTCGCTCTTTTCTCTTCTGGGCCAAAAGATCCTTATAAACCGACATGCCACCATCGATTATGTTCGACAATAAAGTTTAACAATGCATGATGCAAACCCGTGAAGCAGCGAGACCGTGAAAAGTGAACCGAGTTATAGCGAGGGTTCACTGTATATTCAAGCAGTCTTTAGTTACTCTCTGTTGACCCATTGTGCTTGTTTCCTTTCCCCTTGGATTTCTTCTTGTCAGTTCCACTCACACCTGCTCCTCATTTAGCTCATTAGTCCATCCTTTGTTCTGTTTCCCTTAAATACTCCACATCTGCAGTCACTCAGTGCTGGTTCCTTGTTGTTGATTGTCATTTCCTCATCTCTGGCTGCCCACGTAAGTTTTACCCTGGAGGTTTCTGGTCCTTTATATTTTGTATTTTTTGCATTTTGGATGTCTGCCTCAGTTATCCCAATAAATCAATCAGAACTCATCTCTGCATTTGGGTCCTCAAGCAACCTCACCACCCATTGTTGACATAAAGCCTTTGAATTAATGGTATCACACACAGTTATAAGGCAATGACAACTGTGATCTGATATATTGCTCACTTGCAGAGAAGTTTAGTAGATTAAATCTCATTAATCACCATCATGTTGACTTGATGCAAATAAAGATGAAGAATATGTTTCCTGACTCACTTTTCTTTCCCAGCACGGACTCTGGGGACGTATCATCCATCAGGGATGTTGCAACACTACTGCTTGCTGATATGGGTCCAACCAGCTCGTCCTGAATGAAAAAAATATTATCAATCATCCTTTATTATTCACATGAAAGGTGAAGCTTTTTTACATGTTGATATAAAAGAAGAAAATGCTGCCTTACATCAGAGTCGGAGCTGTCCAGCTCAGCCAGACTGGGAGCCTTCAGGAGTTTCTTCCTCTGAGGGACAGACTGAGAACCTGATGGTTCTACTCTGGGAGACTGTGATCCATTGGTCAGGGACAGAGAACTGGACGTCCTCCTGCCCATATAAGGACTAAACTCATCTGCACAGAACCACACAGGAGGCAGGTATCAAAAAAAGGAAGGAAGAGCAAAGATTAATCTCAGCTCGCCACCTCTTGTGCTCTGTTGCATCGTTGGATTTTAGCTTTGGACCTCTAAATTGGTTTTCTCAATTTTTTTTTTTCAATTTGGAGAATAGCTACAAGATCGTATCACAACCAATCATAAGGAAAGGATGCAATGAAACCTGCAGCAGAGGGCCGAGCCTGAGATCCATTAGTGGGTGGAAGGCTTTTTGGAGGATGTAGCTGAAATTTAAGGGGGTGGGTGGGGCAAAGGTATGCATTACATAAAGAAGACAATTTTTTTACATCAAATATTTACTCTCCCTATGAGATCCTTCTATCTAACTCTAAAGCTTAGCCTCGATATATGTTTTACTAGGAACTGAGTCCCAAAATCCTTATTGGCAAAAGTGTAAAGACAGAAAATGATGCATGCTGCTGAGTTGCCCGAATTCAACAGGGACTGGGATCAGAGCAGAATATTCAAAGCGAAAGACGAAACCTTCAGAGAGTTCAGAGTGGGACAAGGAGTGTGAGAGCAAAAGATAGGCAGAACATAAGGCCTTAGAGATCATTTTACAGTCTGTATAGTTCTTTTAGGGACCAACAGTCAAGTTTTGTTTTAGTTTGCAGCCGGGGGGTAGACAGACAGGGCTAAAAAGGCAAAACCCAAACAAGAGTGTGTGGAATCACAGCTTTGCTAATACGTTACCTGTTCCTGTACGGAACAAATCCTGAGGCATACTGCGAGTTTTGCCAAAACCTAAAAAGGTAGATACCTCTATTATTAGGACAGCAGAAAGCAGATTATTTCATTCCACATATTTTCAGCCTACATCCTAACACTACCTTAAGTATCCTTAACATCTGTTACAGTTTTAAAGAGGCCTAGCCATTTACTATGTTCATAAAGAAAAAAAAACATATTTACATCTTAAAATGAGGCAATAAATCCCAATCGTTTGTCCTGATACTGTTTATTTAGTCCTTTTTGAGCTTGAAGGAATTTTTGCACTGTAAGCTGGCGCCATCTGCAGGCAGCTTCTGTAGCTTTAGCTCCTTTTTTAAAGGCGTCCATGATTAGTAAGGTGACCACATGTCCCTGATTTCTGGGGACTGTTCCCCTTGTGGACCGCCTGTCCCCGGCTAAAGCTTTTCCCGGAATAGTCCCAGATTTTACAGTTTTATGAATGAGGGGGAAATGTTGCATGCAGACTGTTATTACGGTAGAAAGAGCGCTTAAGCATGTTGTATACAGAAACAGCTGTTAGCTAGCTGGTTGGCAGCTGTGAGTGTACGGATGAGGAGCAGAACGCAGCACTACACCGAACACCCACATCCTCAGCAACCGCCCTGTTCCAGACCGCCTGCGCAAATCCTATAGCGAGAGCGCTAATGATGGGTTCGGATCTGGACCCACCTGCTGGCTATTCTGGACCCAACCTGATTTAAAAAATTTCTAAATTACAGCACGTTGTCTGACGACAGTGTCTAACTTCACTTGCGGCACTTCTCCTGTTAATATGGTAAAGCCCTCCGGAGCGCCGGTGTTCTGTCAGCTCAGCTTACCCCGTCAGGCCAGCATACCCTTAGTAATACGCATGATCGTTATTACTGGTTATCAGTCCCATAGAATGGCTTCAGATTGTGCCAGTGGGCTCAGTAGGTTGTTATTACCAAGTTAATCCTTACCCCCCGCAGAATTTATTAAATCTATTTATGTGTAATCTGGAAATAGTTTCAGTAGTTCTTCATGTGCTGTAAAAATAAATAAAATTAAAATGGTCCGTATGTCGCTCATATTAAACAAACTAAAAACAAATATATCTCATATCCTTTCAACTGGGTTGTAGAATCCTCTCCCTATACATATTTAATTGTGCCGATCATACTTTAATAAGATCCTCATCTAATGGACATGAAATGTTTGTTTTTAAACATAATGTGTGTAACAAACCTAGTGAATGATTTTTTTGTTGTTTTATGCTCACACTGCGACAAAAACCTGTCTAAATAGGGAAGATGAGGAAAAAGTGAAAGAAAGTGTGGACTGCTGGAAGAACTGTGGTGAACTGGTGACAGAAAAGTAAAATGGTGCTCAAAGATGATCCTGCACATTTTGAGGATGTTTGGCTCAACCTGCTGCTGTGAAGCAGGATTCTCCACCATGAACAGAATCAAAAATAAACATGGATCCAGGCTCAAAATCAGCAGCTTGATATGTGCTTTAGAATAGTTTTTTTCTCCATTCTAACCCAGGTTTAAAGCCTTGCAGGGCAGCCTATAAAGCCCATAGGAATTTTGGGTTTTCATGAGCTATATGCCAAAATCATCCATATTAAGACAATAAAAGACCTGAAATATTTCAGTTACTGTGCATCTAAAATATATGAATGTTCAAGTTTTATCATTACATTATGGAAAATAATGAACTTTATTTTTGAGAAGGACCTGTATATACAGCTACATCTTTAATTACAACATAGCCTTGTTAAAGTACCCTATTAAGCCACAGTGGCCTTGGATAATTAATATGTTGGAATATAAATTATTTGATATGTGATATTTCTGTTATTTTGGTAAATGGTAATATGGCAATGTTTTGTATGAATTTTTTATGTACGCATTGGGGATAAGATTGCTATCTCCTATTATCTATTTATATATTATTGCTTTATATATTGTACGGTACACCACACTGGGACTTGAACAAAACAATTAATGCATTGACATTTTGTGATTTATTCAGAATAAATAAACGAGATGCAATTTGGGAGAAAACATAGAAAGCTGCTGTGCCTGAGTCTCCTTTTATTTCACCTGTCTGTCAGAATATTTTTAATTTGTTACTACAGTTCCCTACTTGGGACCTATAACACATGCTTCACTGTCATTTTAAACTTTCAATTGTTTATTATCTTCTAATAGGATTTCATGTTAGCTTCTGCTAATGGTGTTAGCTCTAGCTGAAATCATAAACAGTAGATCAAAAGCTGATCACATTTCTTTGTTTTAACCGATATTTGATTGAAATATTCATATCTGGACTGTTTTTGGCAGTTTTAGCATAAAGCATTGTCTAGATGAGCCTTTAAACAGCTGATAGGTGAATTTTTGATCTTTGATTTGTAGTTTTGCTCTGACCACAGGTGGGGACAACTGTCTAATATATCCTCAGCTTTAATAATGTCTTTCTCTCTGAAGTTGGTACAAGGTTTATTTCCTTATAAAACACAATGGACTCAGTCTGTTAATGCTGCAAAGACATAACAAATGTTGGACTGAACAAACAAAAACACACACAGGTCAACCAGAATAGAAGGCGGGGGAATTAAGACTATGGAATGATGAGGGACACTGAATCCAGAAGGAGGAAACCTAGACTGGACCACAGCATCATTCTGCCACGACAGAAATATCGATAGTTTCTATCGTTAAGTTTAGATAAACTTTAGATAAACTTAACAGTTTAGATAAAACTGCTAATCTATGGAGTGAATTTACCAATATTGTTGCAGGCAAAGAACATGTTTATTTTATGGACATTAAAAAAAAATTTTATCAAAAAAGTATTGACAGTAACTTTGTAATTTTTTTTTTCCATTTTGTATTTTCTAGCTTTTTTTTAGTTAGTTTAATTTACCAATTTTATATTTTCAAATTGTATTTTTTTTTCTTTGATTTCTGCTTTTCAGATTGAGATTTAAAAATTGCTTTCTTTTCAAAGTGTTCTTTACAGATCATGTTCTTTTCCCTTGTAGCAGCAAGCTTTACTTGGAATGAGAAGCGAAGACAAACTAGAGTGAAAAAGACCTTTGAGAGAAACCCTTCTGGTCCATTACAATTTAGTACAGTTGCAGTCCCAGAAAGAGAGAAGTATCATTTATTACAGTATTAATAAACTTGCATTTTCTTCTTAAACACATTGGCCACAATTGATGCTTTACAATAAAACAGAGACACTATTCATACATACAGTAGGAACTAAGCAACTTAACTACACTTTTACTTGTGAGTAATTCAGAATCTGAGCTGTAATTTTCTTTTAAAACCTCCAGAGCGCTAAAGTCCTCTAAATGTCCCAGACTGCCTGTAAGGCAATCCGATCCGTTCCAACCAGACAGACAGCCCAGTTTAATCTCCTCCTTTGGGACAACACCATTTTTAATCAGAAGCAGGGGATTCCCTGGTCTTAGGAATAGAAAACAAAAGACAGCTCCATAAACCTTTTCAAACATGTTCGATGGAACAACTATTATTATTTTTTTTTTTTTCTGCCTGGTAAAGCAGGGATTAGAATAGAGATTCTTGTACCCAAACAGGATCTAGTGATTTTAAAGAATAAAGTTTCACATCAAGATTATTTATTCTAAAGGTACAGCGTAGGATGTTCTTTTTCAGGGTGGATCACCTAAATAAGTGGTCATCGTAATCGTTAATGTTGATATGTTTACGTAAGACCGTCCTACGTGCTCATCCCCATTTTCACTTACCGGTGGTGAGTCTGACATGGTGTAAAAATGCAAAACTTCTTTTGGAAAGTAAGCTTCTATGAGCAATGCAAACAGCAACTTTTAAACATGTTTAATCGTTCCCTCTCACAGCCTTGTGCATGTGCATTTGTTTTTGGAAATTGTAGAGGGCGAAAATCCTCCGCTATACCTTTAAAGTAAATATAAAAGCCTTTAAATCATACATAAGCCTGTTTAGTTAATTGGCTAAAAATGAAATTGGTTGTGTTGTGAAAATGAAGCCCAGGCATCAAGAAAAAAAAGGGAATCTGGGTATAAGATTTTTGTTTAGTCTAACTGTGTCACAAGCAGCTGCATAAAGTATATATGGCTAATCTGCTACTATGTGTTGCATGAAATTTATTTTAATTTAAATTTATAAATCTAACCCTTCTAATATATGGAGTGAATTTTTGTTTTATTATTGTTGCAAGAAATAAACATGTTTTGTAAATAGAAATATTTAAAAAAAAACACAATCCAGAAATGAAACTTGGAAAAACTTTGTGATTTAAAAAATAACTGAAATAGCTTTGCTGTTTTTTTCTCAGATGTTGTTAATATTATTATTTTTTATACATGTTTTTAATTTCTTGTTTTATAAATTACATTCTTTTCAGACTTGTGTTTTCTTTTCACTTTTGGGGGCGGGCTTTCATCTGGAGTGAGGAGCAAAGATACATTCTTATTGGTCCGTACGGACATCAGCAACGACATTTTATTGGTCAAGAGTGAGTGCTGGAATTAGTCTAAGAATGAATAGAATGGATCTGTAAAAAAAAAAAAAAACATTTGAAAAGAATGCAAACCTTCACACTCAACCTGAAAAACAAAAATTTAAAGAAAAGAAAATTTATAAAATATAAAATTTGCAGAAAAGAATATATAAAGTATTTTTTTAAAGTTTGGAAAACTACAATTTGAAAAAAATATCTGAAACCAGCAAAGTTGCTATAAAACCTTTTTGATTTAGAACTTTTTTAAAGTTTAATTTCTGGATTGCATTTGTTTTTTTGTTTCATTTACAAAACATGTTCTTTGCAACAAATTGTAAAAATTTCACACCATACAAACAATATCACTGCTGCTGCTGTTAAAAGTCAAATTCAGGGAGATTTAAGTTACTAAAACTAAAGGCAATCTGGTGCAAGATCTTTGTTTAGTCTGTGTAACAAGCAGCTGCATAAAGTATGTATATACGGCTAATCTGCAAATATGTGTTGCAAGAAATTTATTTTTCATAAATCTAACCCTTAAAATATGTGGAGTTAATTTTGTTCTATTATTGTTGCAAAAAATGAATATAAAAAAAATCACAATCTCTTCCAAATAAGACTTGGAAAAACTTCTTAATAGAAAAAAAAAGTTTTAAAAAAGCTTTGCTGTTTTTTCTCAGCTGTTAATATAATTATATATATATTTTTTTTCTCTTTTTATCCCTTAATTTCTTGTTTTCAGGATGAGTTTTATAAATTACATTCTTTTTAGACTTGTGTTTTCTTTTCACTGTTGGGGGCGGGCTTTCATCTGGAGTGAGGAGGAAAGATACATTCTTATTGGTCAGTACGGACATCAGCAACGACATTTTATTGGTCAAGAGTGAGTGCTGGCATTGGTCTAGAAATTAATAGAATGGATCTTTAAAAAAACATCTGAAAAGAATGCAATTCTCAACCTGAAAAACAGAAATTTGAAGAAAATAATATTTATATAACATAAAATATGTAGAAAAGAATATATAAAATTTATAAAAAAGTTTGGAGAAATACAATTTGAAAAAAAATATCATAAAAAAATCTAAAAGCTAATGTCAAACCTATGGAAGAGGATTAGGGCCACTGGAAAAAAAAAAGAAAAGTTTACTGATTTTAAAATTTTATTTCAAGTTACTATGGGAATACTGAGATTCTGAGATTAAAGTCAGAATTCTGACTGAATTCTGACAATAAAAAAAGTCAGAATTCTGACTTTTTTCCCATACTAAACTGGAATAAAATTTAAAAATCAGTTAACTTTTTTTTCAGTTATCCTCTTCCGTACAAACCTTCTTGATTTAGAACTTTTTCGAAGTTTAATATCTGGATTGCATTTGTTTTTTGTTTCATTTACAAAACATGTTCTTTGCAAAAACAATTGTAAAAATTTCACACCATACAACAATGTCAGTGCTGCTGCTGCTAAAATTAAAATTTAGGGAGGTTAAATGTTATTAAAACTAAATATTTTGAGGAGGAAATGGCATACACAGCTTATAAACCTTAGAAATTAGGATTACGGGATCCTCCTGCTGATCAGTGTCCATCAGTCTCCATGTTTCACCTCCACAGGGAACAGCTCACCACCACACAGAAGCATGACATGAAATGTTTACGCAGTCAGTACCGAGCAGGTGTGTGTGTCTGTGTTTGTAAAGCAGATGAACAGCCACAACATGGCGGAAAAAAGAAGAGGATAAAAAGCCAGGTAAGCAGCAAGGGAAACTTTACCTGACGCATCAAAACTGAAAGACATGCTAAGTGGCCGAGTTACTGCAAGGAGAAACAGTCACGGCATGGGGCGGTTACAGGTGATCAAATAAAGCAGGACTAAACATACAAGAATAAACAGTTTGCATGTAATTGGCAAAGAAGGCTGGCAGGTATCCATAGTAATATAAACAGCTTTCACTTCAGACAGGTGTTTTCTCTTTTGTTGTTCAACAGATTCCTGATAGCTGTGTCCGCATGTGACAACCAGGTGGGACTCTAAGTTAAGCACCTAAAGGCATTAAAGGAATAGTACACCCAAAACATGATTAGCCTTCATTTTCTACTCACCCCCATGCTGAACAACACTCTGGAGTACTTTTTTGATATCTCAAATGCATCTGGAGATCTGGGAGGCTTCTTGCTGTCTGCTGACATTCAAATAATGGAGGTCCATAGAGCCCGAGGCAGAAAGGTCCATAAAAGATCATTATCGGCAGAGCAGACGCTGAATGCGCACTTTCATCTGGTTTGGTCTGCCGCGGTTTCCGTAGACTCGTGAACTCGCAGGCGCGCGCTTTTTGGAAATCCTATACACTACTGTTTATCCTCTAAAAACATTCTAAATGACTTCGTTTCGAGTAAATTCTGGATGCTACCCACTCAGGACACTTGGAATACATTGGACGAGCAGTATGGAGGAATATTGACACGTTTTTTGTGGACTTTTATGGACCTTTCTGCCTCGGGCGCCATGGACCTCCATTATTTGAATGTCAGCAGACAGCAAGAAGCCTCCCAGATCTCCAGATGCATTTGAGATATCAAAAAAGTACTCCAGAGTGTTGTTCAGCATGGGGGTGAGTAGAAAATGAAGGCTAATCATGTTTTGGGTGTACTATTCCTTTAAGTCATCATGATTTTGGTGGAGCCTCATCTTAGAAAATAACTTTTTTACTGTGCTATCTGCCCAAATTTGTAATAAGTCTTAAATTCTTTGAAGATTCTAGTTTCTCTTTGAAGCAACACAGTGTAACATTTGGCCAAAGGGGGCGCTTAACCTAGAAGTTACATGTCTTGCGGCCCCTGTTTTGCTACATGTAACCGTCTCCCCCTGTGTTTACACATCTGCTGGGAGACCACTGTGGACCAGCTGATCGAGAAGACATGAGGTTATTGGTAAAGACAAGGAAACATCCCTCCTCTAGCTTGAATCCTACACCAGACAATCAAATATATGTCTGATATAGGGATGCGTGATTTATCTATTTTATTGATTACTCAAATTTTCTGTCTATGAATATTTAATTTTTGGAAAATATTTTCTTTTTTTCACCAATGCATCACTCAGACATCATTTTATGACTTTTTGTTGCTAAAATTGTTTACTTTAATTGATAAAGTAGCTGAGGGGCTGCTAAGAGGGCATAAGAAATGGCTAAAAAAAATGGGGAAATTATATTTCTTCTTTCATTATCACGAAAAATATAGATGAAAGGGGGATTTCGGCATTTTCTAATGATACTGCCACCTGTGATGCAAATACAGAACAGCAGACGTTAGTGCTGCGCTCATTTCCTGACATACAGTATGAAGTTATTGCCCAATATCACATGTCATTCCTGTGCTGGTAGTGAAATAACAGTGGGCATTGTTAGTTCAATCTGTAACGTTCTGCTCTCTCTGCTTTTTCTCACAGTAGCTTCATCTGGTCTGTTCCTGTTTGGCTGTGACTTCTAAGAGAAATATCAGCTGTGCTGCTGCCATCAACACTTTTGTTTATAGATGTTGGAGATCTGCCTGTTTTTCAGTGTAGTCCTGTTTCTGCTTCTGTCTTCTTTAACTCCAGTCGGCCTCGGCAGATAGCTGCTCACACTGAAACTGGTTCCGCTGGAGGTTTCTTCCTGTGAAAAGGGAGTTTTTCCTCTCCACTGTCGCTACAAGCATGCTTTGTGTGAGGGATTGCCTTCAAATCAATGAGTCGATGCAATCAACTAGTTTTCCTTAGATAGAAAACTTTGAATCAATTTGACTGGATGATCTGGTGAACAGTAAAGTGCCTTGAGATGACATGTGTTGTGAATTGGAGCTATAGAAATAAACTGAATTTGATTTAATTGAATTGAATTTGAAAGAGATCATTTTTTATGTAAAGGCATGATATTTTTTTAAAGAGGACCTGTCTGCGGTTACCTAACATTAGTAAATCTGTCCTCAAACTACAATTAGGAATATAGTATTAACTGCAGAAAGTGCTTCTTTCAGACATTCAAACAAAAAAAGCTTAATGCAGCTCATTTTAAAGCATCTATACATGGCGACACATGAGAACGGACGCAGTAACCATGAATTTGTCTTTATAATAAAAAAAAATGCAGACAGTGATCTACATTTTCATCCACAGAGCATTAATAGGCATCCGTGGCAGCACAAACATGACAGGTTAGGAAGCAGTGGCTACAGCAGCAAAGATCAGAGGCTGCCATATTAGTGGCATGAAGAAAATAACAAACTGAAACAGCTCAAAGCAAACAAGGCTGCAGTGCATGTGATAAGCTTAGACCTTTGAATGTTAAGTAAACTATATGTTCATCTGTAGTGTATAGAAGCTACGATTGGTTTCCTTACCCAGCCTTCCTCTGCGGATGACGTCGGGGGATACTGGCCGAAGTTTCCTCTCAGACTTGATCTCCTCCAGGATTCGCTCATGCAGGGTGGGAGGAGGCTGAGCCTGAGGCTTCAGCTTACGGGCTGAAACCTAAGACAGTTTAAAGGTGGATAGGAGATGAAGAGTGAAAAGGAAAAAAAAAATACTGACATAAAGTTTCCATGGCTCCCTGACAGAGGAGGACCGTTCTACGTCTGTCTCGCCAAACAGATGATCGCTGACCAGTCACTAGACACTAATCTCTTTCCATCCACCGATCAAAAAGGCAGCCATGAGGAGTTGGCTTAGCTGTACTGGGACTCTAACTTGTACAGTTTCAAACTTTCCAGGAGGGATGCACAAATATCAACATTATCGTCAGAATATGCTTTCCGCTTGTAGCAGTGGCGGCTGGCCAGTAAAGGGCTCTAGAGCGCCGCCCCACCCACTCAATGACCCCGATTAAGGCATAACATTTTTTTTTTTTAATAAGTTAATTTTAAATCAACATTTTAAATATTTCGAAATATATCAATATGTATTTTTTTGATTTGCAAGATACATATTTAATCTTTAATACCTGGTAAAGCGTCATTCCAATTTTCGTCGGATCATTGACGTATTTCCGCGCTAGGTCGCAAAAATCTTAAAGGTTCTACATGTGCAGTAGCTCCTCTGCAATACAAAGGTATAGGAGAGCTCGGGGCACAGGAGAGCTGTGCCCCGAGCTGGTAGGAAGTGTATTTGGTCACCACCTTCTGCCACAGTGCAGACGTTTTGTGGGTGTTGGAGACTCATTGGAGAGACAGAGAGAAATGGAGCAAGAACCGTCCTTTTCCAGGACCTTGTTTAGCAAGAAGGCTTGGCTAACTGCATGTAGGGAGGCTAAGGCTTTATTCTTCTTTCCCTGCCTTCTTTTTCAATCATCAGGATCTAACCCAGCATGGATAAAGACAGATAGGACTGATTTAAAAGATCTTTTAGAAAAGGCATAGAAGAATGAACAATCTGGGATTCACATGGAAAATAATTACGTAAAAAATTAAAAAAATATCCACTGGACTTGGTTTTCAAGATTTGAAGACGTTTCGCCACCTCTCCAGGAAGCTTTCTCAATTCAAATGTGAAAGCTTCGTTCAAATCTTGAAAACCAAGTCCAGTGGATATTTTTTTAATTTTTTACGGAATGACTATGACCTGGATGACTGAGAACCTTCATCAGCACATGGAAAATAATAGAATATAGTGGACTTTTTCTAGATGTTTGTTGGTTTGCATAGTTGCTCTTTAATAAATGCATTCTCAGAAAAGTTTTTATATATTAAAAAATTATAAAGCTGACTAATAGCTTCTCCATTATTAAACTGGAACATTATATTTGTTAGGTGCGTGACACAATATTGGAGCATTCAAACACAGATTTGCCTTCACAAAGGTTCAGAAGGACAACATTAATGTACAAAACTTAAACCTGTTTTGTTTTGTTTTCATAAAGTGCTTTTATATATATTTGTTTTTGTTTTTTGTTGGCATTCATGTGAATACACTGGTGTGATAACTTAGTAAAAGTTTGATTGGTTTTGGTATACGTCTATTTTGAATTGATAGCCCCCCTGGAGAAAACTCCACCAGCCACCACTGGTTTGTAGACTCCATCATTGAAGGGTTAGGGGAGAAAACTAAGCTTAGCAAAAAGGATCATTTATTAATAATGGAGGGTAAAGGTGCAGTGTATGATTTTATTTGCAGTAAAACATAAACCTACATTTGAATCGATAAATGTGGTAAGTATAGATGAGGTCATTTATAGGCCCATCCTCTCAGTCTCATGGCAAGAAGCTGGATGTAGTGGTTCCACACGACTGTTTATTGTTTCCTAAAGATAAAGACTGGCCTTTTCTTCCCCACAAAGTTTAATCTGTTTAATACTGAAGTCCAGAGCAGTTATTGTCAGGAATCCTGTCTTTGTGTTTGTGTTTCTGTGTTTGTCTCCCTTCCTCCACCAGGAGGCGCCTGGTTCTGGTCCGCCTCCTCACACACCTGCGGTTGGTTTCCTTGTCTAACAGAGTGTTGTTAAGCTGCTGACTGCCACTACCTCGACGCCAGTGTTTGCCAGTTTTGGGTACTCTAGCCAAGCTGAGTTTTGCTGAGTCGAACTGAGTTTTTTGCCAACCTGAGTTTAACTTTGCTTTTTGCTTTTCCTCTCAGCAGGAAGTCATCCTGCAAACTGGTTTTCTCGGACCTTCTCACCCTGGAAGGATCAACTGAGCTTCAAACTGAGCTGTGATTCAAACAGGAGGTTTGGATCCACTTTCCCTAAGAGATCGTTTGTGCTTTCACTGAGAAAGGGATTATTCTCCACTACGACCCATTCAAGTACCGCAGGAAATCTGAGTGGCAGTCAGTTTCTCCGTTCCCCAACAAACAACCGCATTCGGGGTAAACCCTGTTCCGCCCTCCCCGAATCAGACAAACACTGTGAATACAGCACACAGACAGGATTCAAGGATTCAACAACTTCTCTGGAAACGTGAGTCGGCAACCAAATCCTCTTCTCCAAGTTCCCTACACAAATTCCCCACTGAGCCTGAACTAACCGCTGTGTCTTCCCCTCACTTTTCAGTTCCGGTTGAGCAGTGTTCAGAGCAACACTTCTCCCTCTGTTTAACCTCGTCAATAAAACCCATTAAACCTTTTCCCTCGTCTCTCTGTTTGGTTTTCTGCATTTGGGTCTGAACTTTGTAAAATCATGACAGTTATTGATACTCACAGGATTAAGGGGAGGTCTGGATCTGATGAACTCCAGGATAACTTCATGAGCACTTTTCTTTAACCTCGGTGGGATGTCTCCCTTAACCTGATCAAATAAAGCAGAAACATCTGCTAACGTACAAACTTAACACAAAAAAATGCTACTTTAGAAATGCTGTGAATTTAACAGGCCAACTCTCAGAGGAATGAAACAATAAGAGGACGTCTCATGGGTTAATCTCTGATGAACACTACCAGGACCAACCATGACTTTTCGCAGCTTGTAGCGTTTGGACCTGATGTCATCCATCAGCATTTCATAAGGAGTCAGCTCGTACTCGATGGGCAGAGGGTTGTACTGACGCTCCTGCACCTTTTTTAGCTTGACTCCTTCACGGAGGTCCCTCATGACCTGAACCCAGAACCGGGCCTGGGAGAAAAAAACACATCGATGTCTTTCATTTGGGATACAGATCCATAATGCAGATGCTGGTCTGATGAAAGATGTCAGCTGCTCACCCAGTCCGCATTCTGCAGCTCGTTCAGGTCTCGGACTGCGTCTACCGAGGTTTTCTCCTCCATCTTTCTGAGGTTCTGTTAGAGGATGAGAGGAAAAGCTTGATTTTAATCCCTCTTGAAAGAACATCTATCCTGATTCCTGTTACTTTGATGCTCAATTAACCATTATTAAATCTATGTTAATACAACATTTTACACAAAAAGGTTTTATAATTTAGAACACTTATTCAGTGTACAGAAAATTAACCCAGTGAAAAATTATGAACACCACTATGACTACTGGAAGTCCATCTCCTTAGAATAAATATAAAATAATCATTTTTACTTTTCTTTTTTAAGTTAAGAGTTTTGAAAAAAAAATTCTAATAATCCATTACTATCCCACGAGTTGAACTGGCAGAAGAAAGACTTATTTTAAATTGTAGCATCGGGACCTCACAACAGTTAATGGCAAGACGTTTAACTGGGGGTTTAGGAAGAAACAATTTTTCTCTCCTATATCGATAAAAGAACACAATTAGACTACAAAAGTCTACTTTAGACTTAGGCAACTTTTACTTCCAATTTGTATACACAGACTGAAAACAAAACGAAATTTTTTTTTGTACAGCATTCAGAACATTTCCATTCTATAAAGAGCAGCTTGATCAGATGTAAACAGTGTGGGGAAAAGACAAAAAAAACATGGTGCAAAAAGAAAATTGATACGGAAGTTCAGAGCATTAAATATATATGATGCAAATATGCAATATTTTGGTTTGGTGTTATAAGTGTGATGCAGAGTCTGTGACATGATTTAGAGTTTTTTTAACAGTCCAGCAGTCTGATGGCGGTGGGGAAGAAGGTGTTACAGAAACTGCTGGACCTGCATTGAATGCTGTGAAGCCTCTTCCCAGAGGGCAGCAGGGAGAACAGTCCATGGTGGGGGGGTGAGGAGTCATTTATAATGCTACGAGCTCAAGATACGTAGCGCTGGGATAAAACGTCTTTTATGAAATCTAAGGGAATTGTGTGTTTTAGTCTGATGAGACTAAGACTCTACTTTTTAGCTGAAAACACTACAGATAGGTCTGATTTAAAACTGGATGTGATGTAAAATATCCCCTTAGGTCTACACTGAGGTATGGTCGAGAATCTGTCATACTCTGTATATGTTTCTCTTTCAAATGCTATGAGAAATGTTTATGGTATCAAAACTATTTAAAGAGCAAGAGGGTTTAGATCTAAAAATAATATTTGGAAATAAAGCATCATTGGTCAATAGAATAATCTCAACTATTTGGCCAAAAAAACAAACCAAAAACGGTTTATAAGAGCAGAGGTTCTCATAGTGAAACACCAAGTGGAGGGTAAAAGAGTTTAGATTTTGATGATAATAATTATATCTTGGTCTCTAAGGTATAAAGAGAAACACAATACAAAATAAAAAATAAATATGGAACTCCCAATAAGAGATAAATGTAACCTGAATACCTGAATTTAAAGGCTCAATATACCATTAAATTATACAATGCACAAATAAAGCACTAAAATTCCCATCAAATGATCAAAATTATATTTGAAGTGGTGAATTAAATTTTTAATCGAAAAAAGAACTTTGAAAAAAGAAAAATTTTTATTCTATATTTTTAAATAAAGACAGAGTAAAATAATTTAGTGTGTTTTAAAGCAGTGACTGTAACACTGTTACCTTTAGCATCACAGGCTAAAATATTGGTGTACTTTAACCCCATAGGAAAGGATAAAAATACCATAGAAGAGCAATCAGTGAGATTCTATTGCTAAAGAGAGGGTTTGTATATCTATCTATCTATCTATCTATCTATCTATCTATCTATATATATATATATATATATATATATATATATATATATATATATATATATATATATATATATATATATATATATATAAAATTATGTGCAATTAACATCACAGGCTAAAATATTCGTGTACTTTAACCCCATAGAAAAGGATAAAAAATACCATAGAAGATTCAGTGAGATTCTACTGTTAAAGAGAGGGTTATATTATCATGTGCAATTCATATAGAGGTTGATGTATTTATCTATTATTTTTAATGTCCAGTGTCAATATATTCTACAGCTATGAATTATCTATTTAGTTCGAAGCTTTTTATTTACTAAACAGGAGTGGCAGTTCATGTATTGGCATCTGGGTAAAGTGAGTAGCGAGTAAATTTTGTTTTTTTAAAAATAAGTGTTTTAAACATCTGCAGTATAGAAGCATCTGGTAAAGTTTGTAGAAAACCAGCATAAATACATTTCTTCAATTTTGTGATTTGATTTGGATCCAGATGTGGGCAATGTTCTCCTGACTTCCCAGCAGATAAAACACAACCAGATCCAGAAGCGTTGGTAAGAACATATTTTCTATCAGTAGCACCCTGCAGTGTTTTCTGCTGAGGATCAATCTGTCCCATCTGTATGAATCCTGACGTCCACAGAGAGCTGCTCGCTGTGTTTACTGTTCTCATTGTGAGCGCGTTACCTAAAGCACAATTTATTCCTTTTGCACTATTTGGATGAAACTGTTTTTTGTTTTTGAAGTAGACTTTCTAATTCTGTGGACTGTTTCCTTTACTGTTGTTGCTCAAATAATGCAGCAACAGATGACCTTATTTGAATCACATCTTGTTCCACTTTTGACCTGTTCTGTTTTCATGGCTTCTCAGGACATAAAGCTATTATTTGTAGCCTAAGGGAGGTATATGCCTGTTATATCTCACATACAAATATAGACAAAGGTTATATTTATGTGAAATAAATATTACTATCTGTTAGAGTTAGAAATAAACTGGTTACAATTAAAGTTCAGTTGATTTATTTTGAAGAAAGGTAACTTTGGAAGGTGATAAAAATATAACTTTTGGATGTGAAAACTAGAAAACAGGTTAAATCGATGTGCCAGGGAGGAAAAACTGATGAAAGAACGTTTTTAAATACTGCATGAAATGTTTTTACAAATTATACAATCATTGTTTTTCATATTTGAATTTATTTTTAGCTTTATTGGTATATAAAAATTGCGTGCTGGCTTCTTGGCACATTTGCTCCATTGCATGCGTAAAAGCTTGTAGTTTGGGTTTAAAATCAGCTTGTGACCAGAACCAACCGACACCTGATAAAACACTGCAGCGCCAAAGTATTCTCCCACAAGATAAAAGAGCAGAATAAGTTGAAGCGTCATCCAGCTGCTCCATATTTCTACTGTAGACAGTCATCGGTTCACTTGGCTCAAATCTTCCTTCCTGACACTTGTGTGAAGCTGCACAGTGGGAAGCCGTTACAGTTTTGTGAAATACCGCCGACCTGACAGCAGTTCTGAGGCAAACAAGGAGCTAATCTGCATTCCTCTGCTGTCTGCTCTCTTTAAAGGCAGGAGAGGTCACTGTTTGTTTGTGCATTTATGTGGGAAAGACGGGGAAAAAAAAGAGTTCTAGAGCAGCAGGCAGAAGTACAATGTGCTGCCTCCGGTTAATATTTGTAGAGAGGGACTGTTCGGGTCACATAACAACACAGCGGCGCTGGATAGAGTCACAAGGAGCTGCCCAGCTGACTGCAGAGTAAAACTTTGGTCAGCCAGAAAAATAATCTGTCAGCCTACCAGGAAACAGCTGCCTGTCTCCACTTCCCAATCACACAACGTCACTCCCAGAAGCAGAAAGAAGCATCTAATAAAAAAGATCTAATCCAAACAAGAAGCAGAAAGACATAAGCATTTGCTACCTGACATGAAAGCGGTTTCAACAATCCTAAAGGATTAATTAAAACAGTATTCAATGCTTTCTTTGCTGCTTCAACTCTTCGCATATAATCCTGTTTTTTTTGTTTTTTACCAGAAGCATGATTTAAATCTTTATAAATTGGTGGAATTTGTTTGTGCAAACACAATCTAACAATCTGTGATTCACATTTAAATCAGCTGCTGGGAGCTGAACACTGAGGGAGAAATGAGCTGAATGAGACTGATGGAGAAAGATAGATTCCCACACCTGACAAAAGCTTTGCTGTGTCTATAGGAGGCCATTTGCATGCTTGGTATGAATTAATCTAAGTTTCTGATCTTTTCTACAGTTTATTTACAGTGACCTGCAGAACCAAAATGATGACCTGGTATCCAATTATCTAGTTCTCTATATTTGTTTTAAACGTAAAACATACTCTTTACTTTACATACTCTCTACCCAGTGTGACTGAGCCTGTACCACATTGGGTAGAGAATATGTGAAGATCGTTTTGAAACATATTTAGGTTGAAATTTGACTGGATTATTCTAACAGATGAATATGCTCTGATGTAAATCGGTTCAATGGAGATCTGCTGCATTTTAAGGAGACCACCTGAATGTGGTTTTCCTCTTTATTTCCATCCTCCGTTGCATTAAAGGCATAGTGGAGGATTTTCACTAATTTTTTAAAAGACCCGCCCTCTCTAATTTAAAAAAAAAAATGCACATGCACAACCCTGTAACCTATCCTGAAAGTGGAATGCCTCTTAAATGCATACGAGAGCATGAACAACTTCATTTCTCCTCGTGCACGCCTGTTTTAAAATTGCTGTTCTCATAGCTAATACAAGCTTACTGTGCCGAAATGTCAGCCAGCCCTAACCCCTAAATCCCTCAATCACCATATAGAGCAGGGACTATATAGTGGACTTCATAGCGAACTCAGTTAGCCTAACGTTCGGACAGATGATCACTGCTTTTTGCTCCGTTTGTCACGTAACTCCTCCTCCACCACGCGGGGCCATCTTTGTTATTATTCGCCGCTGTCGTCTAGTGACAGCCTATGTCAACAGCTTTATTTTTATCTAATTCAATTCATAGACACTTTTTCTCTACGACCCTCAGAGATTTCAAAGAACCGCAGTGATAAAGGTGAAATTCAATGACTGTCTGAAAGATCCCCATAGATGTACGTCTGAAAGTGCGCATGCACAGAAAAAGATAGCTAACGGGACGAGCACATAGGACGGCCTTATGTAAACATAGCACCAGAATGATTTACGAATTGGAGGACCACTTATTAAGATGATCCTCCCAGAAATAAA